TGTTTGCAAATTTGTTCAAGTCAATCGCACCACGGTCATTAGATGTCCGCCGTTTATAGTCCAGTATCAAAATGGACATAAATATGCCAATGCCAGCAGTAGAACAATTTCAAAGCGGGACGACAAGGTAGCTTGAAAGGGTGTAAGACTCCGAAGAGGGGTCTTCACTGGATTCAAGGCTCGGGAGCAAGGCTCCAAATCTAAACTAAAACCCAACTATGATTCCTAGCACAAATCTAGCTCCAGCCGAAGATTTCGGTCAAGTCAGTTCCTACGCTCTACTGATAACAACTGGAAAGAGAAACAATCTAGAGAAAATAGATGAAAAGAGAAATGATGGCTCACCTAGCTCCAGCCGAAGATTTCGGTGAAGAAAGAGATCTTCGTGGAGCTAGGGCCGTTGACAACTATTGATCAGAACCTGTCTTCAGCCATGATTGCTGTACATCCCTATGTAACACCTTACATCCCTCCCCTTCTAAAAAAAAAACTGAACCAAGCCTAACAAAAAAAGAAAAAAAATTCAATTGGCATAACTCGCCCTCAAATAGTGACCATAACACGTCCTTAGAAAAGAAATTCAATATTTGAGTCCAACCAAAGAAAGAAAAGAGAAAACTAAAAAAGGAAACTGAAAGGAAAAAAAAACTAAGATTGAATTGTGAATCTTGCATCTTGAAGTCTTGATCTTCATTTGTCGTTATCATTTAAATCATTAAGTTCTTGCTGAAATATTGATCTTGATTCTTCGTAATACATCTAATTTCCATTGCGGATACCACTATGCTTGCAACCTTGCTGTTGATCCTATGAAAGAGAGCAGACGTCCCAGGGGTGCTCACACAAGTGGCCGAGGTAATGTTTTTTACACAATTTTTTTTGACGTAGTACGTCCGGCGGTGCATACAGTTTGGGAGGAACTTACTTTTGGATCCCAGTTCCTTGCTCCTCCTCCCTCCAACGGTAGCGTTTCAGTTTCGATATGTGAAAAACTGGATGTGATTTGTCGTTGTTGTTGAGGCGCAGGCGAAAGTTGCGTCCGTCGTTCAGACACTCGGTGACTTCGTAAGGTCCATCGTATCGGGGTCGTAGTTTTGAAGTTGGTTTCCCTTGCCCTCCTACAATCTGTTGACGGTCCTTACTGTCGATCAACACCCAATCATTGCATTTGAGGACATCACCTGCACTTCTTCGGTTATTATAATGTAATGCTTGCGTGATCCTGCTAGTCCAGAGTTTATCTCGATACTGGGCCCAGGCTCCTTGCCGTTCTTCTATCCATTTCACGACGTCGGTTCCTTTGTCAGATAGTTGTCCAGCTACCGGAAACAGTCGAGGTTTGCGTCCAAACACAAATTCAAATGGTGAAATGCCTGTTGAAACGTTCGTTGCACTATTGATTGCATATTCAACTGCTGGTAAGGCTTCTAGCCACTTCCCGTGTCGGTTTTCGACGAGGTGGCGTAAGATCTGTACAATAGTCTTGTTGGAGATCTCACTCCGACCGTCAGCTTGAGGGTGATAAGCTGTGGTTAGCTTAACGTCAATGTGTAGCAGACCGTTGAGTTCTTGCCAAAACCGTGAGGTCCACGCTTTGTCGCGGTCGCCGATCATGCTTTTGGGAGCACCGAAGATTGCTAGCCATGCGCTGAATAGTCGTTGTGCTGTTCGTTCGGCCGTGTCTGTCTGGCATGCTGGAATAGCGCGCACAAAGCCTGTCAGTCTACAGGTACACGATAGAATCATATCGTAGCCTCTGAATTTAGGGAAGGGTCCGATAAAATCAAGTGAAATATCTTCCATAGGTTGTTTTGGAACTTCTGTCGCCTGAAGTCGACCCGACGGAAGCGTTGTTCTTGCTTTCGATTGTTGGCAGCTGTCGCACGATGCCACAAAGTTTGTAACTTCTTTTGCCATGTCTGGCCAAAAGAATTCATGGCGTAGTTGTGCTAAAGTTTTCAAGCTACCTAGATGACCCAACGCGTTATGCGTTTTGTCAATCAGCCGTTCGCGCAACTTGCTCACTTGAGGTATCAGGAGTCTTCCGTCAACGTAGATCATGTCCTCTCGTCTTTCGGTCCCATCACGTAGCGGTAGGGTTTTGGCGACTCTTAAGCAGAACGGATCACTCTTGTAGCCTTCTCTGATGTCTTTGACTGTTTGATCGTCAAGTGTTGCGCTGATTTGAATTGCTGCCACTTCGTCAATCCTCGACAAGGCGTCTGCGACCGTGTTGCTTTCACCCTTGATGTAATTGAAATCAAGGTCAAATTGTGACAGTGTTTCTAGCCAGCGTGCTTGGCAACGACTGAGATTTCTTTGAGTCAGTAAGTGAGTCAGTGAATGATGATCTGACATTACGTTGATCTTCAATCCCAGTAGCATCAGTTTCCATTTCTGAAGTGCATTAACCACTGCTAACAATTCTTGTTCGTGAACTGGGTAGTTACGCTCAGCTGGTGACATTGTTCTGCTTTCGTACGCAATTGGTGACGCCATATCCCACTTTGCTCCTTGAAATAAAGCTGCACCAAGCCCATGTCCACTCGCATCTGTGAATAGCCAGATAGGGTCATTTGAGTCATAGTCAATTTGCTTCAAAACCGGTAAAGTTGTGATAATTCTTTTGATGTTTTCAAAAGCCTCGTCTTCTTTCTTGCCCCACTGAAATGTTTGGTTCTTGCGTTTCGTGCTTGTCAGAGGTGATAATGTCCCAACGTAATGTGATAAGCCGTCAATAAACTTCTTTAAAAATTGCACCGTGCCTAAAAACTTCAAAAGTTGTTTCTGTGTACTTGGTGTTTTCCACTTGGCAACTTTCTCCACTTTAGCATCGTCTGGGCAAACTCCGTCACTGCTGATTTCATGCCCTAAGAAATTGATACTTGTCCGAAAGAGCTTACTTTTTGCTGGTGAGCAATAAAGTTTAGCTGCTTGCAGTCTTCTCAGAACCTCCCTCACATGAATCTCATGTTCCTCCACTGAATTTGAAAATACCACTACGTCATCAATAAACACTACACAATAATTCCCAATAATATCCCCCAGTGCTTCTTCCACTCGACCTTGATGAGTGGCCGGTCCATTTGTCAATCCCATTGCCATCACCGTCCATTCAAAAAGTCCAAAAGGTGTCTTTACTGCAGTTAAAGGGATGTCCTCCTCTCTCATTCTTGTCTGAAAGAAGGAATTAATTTGATCAATGATGGAGTATATTTTCCCCGTGCTTACTAATCTAACTGCTTCATCAACATTTGGCAGTGGGGCTCTATCTTTTACTGTGTACTTGTTCAAAGTCCGGTAGTCACAAACCCATCGTGGTAAAGCATTGGGGTCCTTTTTTGGTATTATCATAGAAGGTGATGCATATTGACTTGTTGATCTTCGAATACGTCCCGCTTTCAGGTGTTGAGTGACTAGCTTTGACCATGCATTCAAGTACTTGTGGGGATAGTTGTACTGTTTCTCATTAATCACCACATTTGGGTCGGTGAGGACAATTTTATGAGTCACTCGTGAAGAAGCATTCTGCCCTTCAGGCGGAATGAAGTCATCTTCTTCGTCCTCTGCTACTGCAGGTAATTCCTCTGGGAATAAGCTTGAAAACTCTTCTAATACACGCTCCTCTCGTTTTGTCAAGTCACGATTGTTTTGGACGCGCTCCAAGTTTTGAATCACACATGCAACCATTGAATTTGTCATTGCAGTTTCTATCTGTTTCTTCGCTGATTCTTCCAAGAGGACTGTATGACTAGGTACATGTGTTACTGTGCGGTTATGAAGCGAGACATCGAGGTGATACTTTTCCAAAAAGGGAGTACCCAAGATCACGTCGTAAGTGTTTCCCAGTGGCGCAATCTTGAAAAAAGTTGACCCAAATCGTAATTTCGGGTCTGCTGAGCTAACATTAGCAAAGCAAAACTCATTGATCACGAAAGGAGTGGTGTCGGAGGAGATTGCCAGACTCACCTTGATAGGTTTAACGAGTCGCCTCCGAGGAATTTTCGCCTTCTTTGTTGCCAGTTCCGACATGAGATTGGCTTCGGCTGCGGAGTCTATCAAAGCACGCATAGGAGTCCCATTTATCATTAGTCGAAGAATGATGGATTTTGTGCGTTTTGTTTCTTCTACGCACCCGGCCAGTTCCTCCTCCATGTGTGCTATTAGAATCCTGTCGGCCTCTTCATAGCGTTCAATTTCCTTGTCGGAGATATCTGGTGCGTGGTTAATCGAAGCCGCTTCTGAAATAGCTCTGACGGCGACAGTCTGCGCGGGTCGGCCTGCTGGTCTGCTGGTAGGAGCTCCAGCTGGTGGGAGTTGACGATTGGATGACTGCACAGCTTGACTTGTTGATCGACGTGGTGGTCTTGGTCCTGGGTCAAAAACACTCAAAGGTGGTAGCTGGATGTAGGGCCCTTTGATCGGACCCTGACAATTTGCGTTTCCACACTCAGTCCGACAGGCCGAGCAAATTCCCTTGTGTCGTAGGTATTGATGAAAATGCCAGGCGTAGTCAGCATTCTGTTCCGGGTTTCGCGGTCATTCACACCTGCAGGTTTCTTGGTTTGCGCTTGATCGTGCTGGAAATCCGCCTTGACGAGCTGGCGCACTGGTATTGATTCCTCCACGAGCCAATAGATTACTCGATTGAAGTAGTAACCAGATATCTGATGCTTCAGCCATAAATTCGAACCATTTGAAGTTTGACACCTTCAATAACTTCCGATCCGCTACCCATCGTTGAAACACCTCAGGCGCTCCCCAGACAACATATTCAGCCAAGTTCTTGATTGTAATTGAACTCTCGATCTCAACTAATGCATATAAGTCTCTTCCTCGATTGGCGTAGGTTTTGAAGTCTTCGTTTGGTTTGATTTTTAGTTGTCGAATGCATTTTTCGGTGTCGTACCGCCAACCGGTTGGGAGCGTCTCAGTTGCTAGGGCATGCATAATCTCCGCCCACGGTAAGTGCACTAGTTCATTTTCCATCTGTCTCAGCCAATTTCCCGCTCGAGGTTCCACCACAATAGCTCCAAGGATGATTAACCGTTCTTCCACATTGTCTAATCGCTTCAACTTGAAAAATTGTTCTACAAGTCGTCGCCAGTTGAAGAGAGCTGCAGGGTCTTCGACTGGCCCAGTGAATTTGGGGGCGTCGGATAGTTTGATATCACAAGCTCGGACTACTAGATCTTCAGAATCTGTCGGTGCGGTGTGTTGGCGACGATTGGTTGGTACGGTGTTGCCATGAGCAAAGGAAACACGTCGAGGTGTGTCGGCGGTTGCCTCCCCTCCCAAGTGACTCCAAGGAGCTGCCGGGTAAGATGAACGGGGTACGTTGTACTCGGCTTCATATCTGGCATGTTCGTCGTTGAGGTTGGTCGATTCTTCGACGATTGCAGTCAATGGAGCGGCTTCCGTTCGGCCAACCTGAGTTGGGGTTTCGGCAGTAGTCGACGCGGCTTTAGTACCTGCAGGAGTCGGAGTGCCCGGGCTTCGAAATCGCGAGAACCAGTTTGCTGACTGCGTCGCCGTTTGTGAACCTGTGCTTCCCGCTCCTGCGGTGTTCGTGGGTTGCTGTGAGGACATCATGCGAGACATAGAAGCTTCCAATGCCTGAATCCGGTCTCTATCAGATTTAAGCGACGAGATTTCCGCTTGAAGGCGTTCGATCAAGGCATCTTTATCTGAGTCATCCTGACCGTCGCGGTCTTTGCCTTTGAGGTTTGATGAGCCCTCCATCACGCCTTGTGGAGTAAATATAAAACTACCGGGCGGTCTAGGGGTTGGGTCGGAAAGTCTTGAGTTAAAAAATTCTCGTACGATTCTGCTGTCTGGGGTAATTGCTGGTTCAAATGGATCAGGAAAAGAGGCAGGTGTCGACGTGGCTATTGGTCTTGGCTTAATGGTGGCTTGTAGGGTAAGGTCGCTGTCAGGTGTGTCAAGGGGGGCTTCTGGCCTCCAGTTAAATCTGGGAGCAGGTGGTGCTACTGGCGAAGTCTCGGTGTCTAGTTGGCGTTGTCTAAGCTGTCTTTGTTGGCGTAGGAAGGATTCCGGGTCGTTGGTAAAATTCGCGGGTAATGCGAATCCCATCAAAAAAAAGTTGATGACTTGTCAATTCCAGATTCTCTCACGGATGTCAGAAGATCGTGAATTTTCAAGGTGTTCGAGGACCGGTTGAAAGTTTGAGAAAAATTCAAAGTTGGTAGTTTAAAAAAGTGTAAGACTCCGAAGAGGGGTCTTCACTGGATTCAAGGCTCGGGAGCAAGGCTCCAAATCTAAACTAAAACCCAACTATGATTCCTAGCACAAATCTAGCTCCAGCCGAAGATTTCGGTCAAGTCAGTTCCTACGCTCTACTGATAACAACTGGAAAGAGAAACAATCTAGAGAAAATAGATGAAAAGAGAAATGATGGCTCACCTAGCTCCAGCCGAAGATTTCGGTGAAGAAAGAGATCTTCGTGGAGCTAGGGCCGTTGACAACTATTGATCAGAACCTGTCTTCAGCCATGATTGCTGTACATCCCTATGTAACACCTTACAAAGGGTTCTAGAAAGTTTGAGTCAATACTATCCATAACTTCGCTCTCATTGTGAGCAAAAGTGAGGTGGGCGATTGCCGTACACGGATAATGGATATCCAGCCTTATCGAGCTACCTGGTTAGGTTAAATCGGATACATACATATCCGCAACCTTCAAGGTGGTATGTATTGCGCATGTTGTATCTTCACACGATGAACTACTCAGTCTACATATTTCGATTGAAGTTATTGGACTAGAACATGGCCTCTCGAGCAACATCACCGTCACCACCAACAGATCAATTGAAAGAAGATACTGAATCTACGATCGAACCAACTCAACGGATTGCATCACCACCTCCAGTTTTACCTAGTATTACCCAGGAAGATGGAGGAAGTGATACCTTTGGATTCGAACTACTTGAGTTAGCAAGAAAACAAGAAACTGAGAATCAAGCATTACTTCACTTCCTCTCAGGATCAACTGAAACTCCTTCGAAACCTGAATTAACAAAACCTGAATCAAAAGAAAAGGCAATCTCAAGTTTCAATGATCATAAAGGATTAAATTCAGAAGCATTATTAGATGATTTAATTCCTTCAAAAGATCCTTGTTATCTTAATATGAAATTAAGAGATTCATCTGTTTTACTTTTACATTCGATCACAGCTGAAAGTGTTTATTCATTTATAATTTCTTTAGCTAAAGATTGTTATGAAATTTATTTTGGTTCGACATCAAACCAAAATACTTTAGAAAAGGATCAAGAAGTAAAAGAAGGAAAGAAGGGATTCGAATTTAATGAAGATGAAAAGA